GAAAATGCTTAATTATATGATTCACATTAAGACGATTGAAATCCCCAGCAATGATAATACCGCAGCTGTAAAATTTTGCTTCGACTTCGCTCAGTGTCTGAAATAAGTGACTCTGCATGCTGAAATTGTCGGCACTGGGGGGGTGGTATAGGACGGCAACTATGATTGAGGAAAATTCACGAGGAAGTCGTCTAGGTTTTAAATGAAGCCATAAGATTTCGTGTTCGGAACAACATGAAATTTCTGAAAGGATTTTGAGTTTCGTATCACCGTCTCTAATATAAATACAGATTCCGCCATGGTTGTTTATAGATCTATCTTTGCGTATGATTGTAAACCCAGGTATGCTTACAACGCTATCTGTAATTGAGTCATTGAGCCAAGTTTCAGTTAGAAAGGATAAGTTTATCTCATTTTCCATCATGAATTCGCGGACTTCGTCTATTTTAGGGGCCAAAGATCTCACATTAGTCACAATTAATTTTGGAATAAAATTACTAATCCTCTGTTTTAATGTAGTGGTATTAAGTTGATGGAGTTCTGTAGTAAGGGCCTTACATGGCAGTGTACAGTTATTTGGAAAGTCAACAGATTCGTTTAATAATGACTGGGTGGTCTTGTTGGGATGTCCATCAGGGGAGGCATATAAGGGTAGTTTACGTGGGGATAAAAAAAAGGGTGTCTCATAGTATTTAGGTGACTTTGAAAATGATATGGAGTTTGTCCGTAAAACGGGGGTGGAAAAAATTGTTGTTGGTGTGGTTGAAAGGACTGTTCTGGTTTAGCGTGGGAGAAATCACATTTCAAACCCTTCAGGCAATGACCCTTTCTGCGTAAAAAGGGACATGGAACGTGAGATTTAGGGTTTTTTGTGTGTCGGGGGAACCTATCTTGGTATGAAGTGGGTATTTCGTTCCTACCCGCAATTTCTTCTGAAACATTATCGGTTCCAGCGTTATTTAGATTTGCCGCGCCAACGTTGTTTTGATCAGATATCTCGATTATACTAATGTCGGGGGCGTTGGGATTAGTCGTTTCATTAATTTCTTTTGTTTGGGCGTGAGTTAAAATATGCATATCGGTGGCAGGTTTGCCATTTCGATTTTTAACTAACTTTCCCCCATTTTCAACTGAATTTTTACTTTTACTCTGGCCCATAAACTCAACTAATTGTTCAACAGTTTGAGACAAAGTTTGTATAATTTCTCTGTTGATTTCTTGACCCGATTTTAGTTCCTCGAAGTCGAAAACAACATCAGCACATGAACAAGACGACTGCCGCGGGGTATCTACATTCGTCTGGCATGACATGTCCGAACTAACTACATTTTTAACACTTGAATGTAGACTATTCAAAATCTTTTTACATAAATGTTAATACACTTTACCCATTTCGTCGCCTTCAATCTGCAAGAGACCTTTGCCTTTTCTCCACGAGATCAAACTGTTATTAAACTTAAACACCTTTTTGTCGCCGCCGGGGTGTTCCCAAGTGCCGTCTAGTTTTAGCTAGACCATCAGCGATTAACAACTTCAATGAATCAAAATCTCCAGTCCAGGCAAAACTTATATGATCAATAAATGAAACCATTCTGCAACGTATAACCCTTCACCATTACACAGAGTGCAATAACATAACATAACTTCGACATGACGAAGCGCTGGGCTGAATTTCAAATAAACACACTTTAAAGGCACCCTTGTTGGCGTAATATTCTTTCCTTCTTGTCATATTGTTACAATGATTTGTTATTAATCGGATTTCACTTCAATTCATAAAAGTCACAAATCGTTGAAAATCTCTTCGAAACAGTGTATTCTCACTCCTTGTACGAACAATACAGAATCGCGCATATATTACGCAATCGGACTGGAAACCATGGAAACGAGAGATGAGTAGTCCACCAAAACAAAAAAAAATCCCACATGCGCAGAACGGACTGTAACCCGTCTTTATAAATAAATCTCCCTAAAGGCTGATTTCCACTGTTGCGTTTTTCATACGTACGTATACGCTGCACGTAAAACTTTAAATCCGTTTAAATGTTACTTTATGAAATAACCAAATAAATAAAGCAACAGATTTTAGTGTTCCGCAAGTTTTGGTATGCATTTGTTAACTTATTTGTAAAATATTAAAAAATAGAAGGATTCAAAGTTTTACGTGCGTACGCAACAGTGGAAATCAGCCTTAAGCTTCAATATTCGTACGCGCTTAAATAATGAATTTGTGTGTTCGTCATAAGACACTTTACAAATGATTCGCACTGCACGTATTTGTAATAAAAATATACGATTTAGATTGGTAGAGTGTGTTGAACCCCACCCAATAATGCAATATTGAAGATACGGTTAGCTCAAGGAATAAAACAATGGCAATAAAGCTGATTTTGGTAAACAAAAACTTGAGTTGTATATAACCCCTATTGATTTTGATATTTTGCTAGCATGCAATATGCGAGACACGAGGTTTCCAAGATAAGTGTTCATCAAGCATATAAACCTGACCAAACCTAATAGTATATAAAGAAATAATAGACACTGAGTTTCTAAAAAATGCCTCTTGCATCAATGTTACTATTGCTGCTGTTATTATTATTAACATTCCATCTGTTACAAGAACATGGAACATCAGTTTGTCCTCAGTTTTGTGATTTCAACTCTCGCGGCTTTGCAACAACTAGAAAATCATTTGGTTTAGAGATGAAGTGCTGGGAGGATACTTTAGTAGTTGGCATCTCTGCTCCTTCAGGCAACTCAATCTTGTAACGATGCAAAATAATTGAAGCAAATGAAAACAACATTATTTTCCCCAATAGTTGACCAGGGCATTCTCTACGACCAACGCCAAACTGTATGAATCCATGCAGTTTATTCCAGCCGACGAACTTGCCACCGTGATCCAGAAATCGTTCAGGTTTGAATTTCTCCGGTTCTGGCCATTCTCGTTCATCTTTATGCACCTTGGAAAGATTCAGGACAACAAATGTTCCTTTTGGAACGGGAAAGCCAGCGATGGTTGTGTCACGAATCGCGTTTGTTCCTGTGAGCGCCGTAATAGATGATATCCTTCCGACTTCACATAAGGTAGCTTGAAGGTATGGCAAGTTTTCCGCGTCTTTCTTGTTGGGAAGACGATCACGTCCTACGACTTCGTCCAATTCATCGTGTATTTTGCTCTGGACTTTGGGAAATAAGACCATATATAGAAAAAACCAAGTTAGCCATATGGAGGAAGTTCCCGACCCGATAAGCGTACCCAACATCAAGCCTTGAATACCAGCTTCTTTCGAGCCAATGTCTTTCCTAGTCTCTTTGGCAAGCTCTTTTTCATAAGCACTGATAAAGCTATCTGTGAGATTTCGTATGATGCCTGGAATATAGCTCTCCTGGACGTAACGATATTCCCGTGGGAAAATATTTTCTCTAATCACATGAGCTCGCTTTATTTCCCGGGTATAGTACGTTGGTAAGTAACATAGGAACGGCAATAACTGATACATTGTACCAAGTACTGCTTGTCTGCTGAAAATCGAGGTGAATTCGTTGATTTCATTCACAATTGGGTCGTCCACCGCCAGGCTCTTCGATGTAAGCCATTCCCAAATTTGTACGACTACCGAAGATTCGAGGAGATTCTTAGGTGAAAAGAGTCTCCCTGGTTCATTTTCGATTTCTTTCATCATGATTTCAACAGCGTGACTAGCACGGACCGAGGCTTGCTCTATCCCAGCGCCAAAAATATGCATTGCTGATACAAAAACTCTCCTCTGATAAATATATGAGGGTGAGTAATCAGAAAAACCTAATTGATAACACATTAACTCCTCTAGAGGATAAAACTGATCAGGTGATCTACCCATAAGATCCTCTTGTTTCCCTGGGGCAAGCCTTGCTTCACGTACTAGGGTTGCTGTATTCAAAATAACAGCGTTGCCATATGGAAGCATAACTGTGAAAATATCTCCATATTTTTCAGCAATTTTATCAAATGGTCGGACAGAATCTGCAGAGATGATTTGAGGAATGTTTCCAAAGAAAGGATAGGGAAATGGTCCGGGAGGCATGTTCTTTCTCGTCAAGTAGGTAGAGATGAAATACCAGATGAACCAAACGAGAAACGTAGTGACAAAAACCTCGACAATCATCATGCACCTGTAAGGAACACATTTACATTTAGGGAGTGTTCATAGTTTATGTGGTTGTGGGCTATGAGGAATTCACATTTTAAAATAATATTTTTGGGGGGCAGCCCCCCCCCCCCCTCCATGCTGAACATAATTATCAGCGACCCTCCCCTAAACTATAGACTTCCAATAAAAGCGAATTATCATGACCCC